GGTCGGTTTTTAGCCATCTCAATTAGTGTATCCAGCCAACGTGTTCAGCATCTTTCGGACCCCAACCAGGGAGCCGAAAGGCTTCAACCGAGGTCCACTTTGAAGTACGTGCCTTCATTCCTCTTAACCAAGTCATCGCTTGTTCGCCCCTCCTCTTCTTCTATCCACAGCCCAGGCGCGGAAACCACGCACGTCGCTGGCGTCTGTATGCTGTCATGCGCAACACATCGCCCAGCTATCAGATCCTGGTACATGATATAACGGGCTGAGCGGTTCATAAAAAAGGCGTCGAACACACTCATTGCTCACCCGGTATTCCCAACAAATATGAGCCAAACTACGAAGGCACCGGCGGTCGAACGTAACTAGCCTCTTTCTATCTGCCGATCTAATGGGCCATATTTCACAGCCGTACATCAGGGTCGAAGGTACCGCTACATTGTACACTCTACCCTTCAGGGCAAGAGTGATGTCGCGCCGGCGCCATAAGTGGCGAAGGTTAGCAAAAGATCCCCTAGCTTTTGCTATACGGTTCGTGACCTCATCTTCCATCTCACAGGCGCTAATATATCTGCCCAGGTACTAGAATTCCTGAACGACTTCTAGCTGATCACCACCGAGGGTCAGCGCAGGGGTGCGTCCCTGCCAATCTTGGAGGCCTTTGCATTTCGGCGGTGCAAAGCATAGCCCGAAACGACTGACAGCCAATGCTAATTTGTCCACTGCTACTTGGTACATTTGAGAGCTATCATAGATAAGTGCAATGTCGGCGTATTTCTGGTCAAGAAGTCGATCGCCTAGGAGCAGCTCCATTTCTTATAGGTCGTGTCTATTGAACGGATTCTCCATGACTTCGTCGACGGTGAAGTTAACAAGAAAAGGTGACAGTGGGCATTCTTGTCTCACATCGCTGGAGATATTGAAAGGCAGCGACAACTTGCCGTAAGCCCTCACTGTGTCCGAACTATGCGCATAAGCGCTCTGATAATGTTTACGTATTTTTCGGAGACGATTTTTTGAGTAGGCAGTCCCGAAGTGCACATCGATCAACGGAATCGCAAGCACCTTTTATGTCGGGAAACACGACTACACTGGGCCGCCAATATATGTCACGGTGCTCCAACAACCGATGTAATGTGAATATATGATTGCTACATCCCTGACCACGACGAGACACAGCTTGCTCCTCACTTTTCCGGCTCTCACAAATGCCGGCCAGTCTGTGAAGGATTACAGAGACAAGTAATTTGGATGCGATGGGGATCAAACTCTTTCCTCTATGGTTGCCACATTCTGAACATGCGGCTCCCTTGAAAAGTGGGTCTATAACAGAACAGATCCAGTCGGTTGTGACAGTTTTCTGCTCCTACAGTTTCACTATTATGTTGTAAATATCGTCAGCAAGAGTAGCGGATGGATGAAAATCATATGGTCCCGCGGTCTTGTTCAACTTAACCAGTCCGATCTCGCGTTCGACTTCTGGGCAAAAGGATGGATTCATATGGACAGCCCATGGATCTGGTCGATCACTGGATTGTGAAAACTCTAACATTCCTAACGAGGAAACTGTCTTACAAATTGTTCAGCACCGCTCCAAGCGTTTTGAGAAGTTGAGTATGAGCTGTCCACTCTCGTCTCCTGCTGCCGGTTTCTCGTATCAGACAGTTACTAAGGGTAGCACCCACTCCTATCTGACGCAGGACGAGACCACCGGGACTCGCAGTCTCACTTCAGGCCAGCACGGCGTTTTGCCCTGATGTATTTACGAGTCTTATCGTGTTCTCTTACAGCCGGAATTTGCCGACGAGCATCTACAGATTCCAGAGACTGCTGGGACCCAATGTCCATGTTGGCCATTAGATTTACTACATGAGTATTGGTCTCATAAGTCTGATTGTTTGCTTTCCAATCTGATGAATGTTGCCCACTTTTTCTGCACCACTCTCTCCTCTGTATGTTCTGCTTTGTGTTCTACTCGTTACCTTCCCACCATTGTTAGTTATCATTGTCATGGTGACACGAGTCACGGCGACTGGTGACGGTGCAGCAGCAACCCAAGCTGTTTCGCTGAATTAACTTGATTGGAAAGACTATCTAATTTACTCGTCGTGTGTTAATGGGTCATATACCGTATTTTGCTGTTTTTCTGCGCAAAGGAGATTTGCTAAGCATGAGAATGCAAACGAAGAGTGATCAGTCCCGATGGCGACATTCGGTGAACAGTTGTTACATCCTGGCCATCAACCCGGAGCAAGTAGCCCTTCTAGGGAATTTCAGCTTAGAGTTATAACTTCAATGTCTAGTAAACCTTTGCAGGGGTTCTATTGTACACCGATTCCACGATAGATGCTGCGTCTGTTACCACTGCTTGTGTTGATGTGAATGGTAATGAGTGGGTGAAAACAGGTGTCTTCTTACCATTAGGGATCTTTGATGTTCGTGTTCCACTCCTGGAGAGTTGGGTCCATGATTCCTAAGTAATTATCTCTTGAATGAGTTTTCATGTAAGAGTATGTCGACTTATCCAAACTCCTCCGAGTGAAAGGTCGATAGGACTGAATTTTATTGACCTCCAGTGACTCAATCTTTCTGTCTTTGACTCGGATTTTGCGTAATTCATGCAGCTCACTTGATTTTGAAAGCACGCAAACTTTCACATTCGAAACTCTTCACTTCGCATACTACTAAGGTTCCGTTTCATCATGCTGCACATCGGGGCGAAAGGCTATGGGCGGTCGTTTCGGCTCTGAGGCCGAAATCACTGTAGTGAATTCGCGTACGCATTTATCGTCTGCTTTGCCATCGAACACAGAGTGCTGTATCTTTTGCGCATCTTCTTTACTATCCGTTATATCCGCTTACTGGCACTCCTTACCTGTGAATACAACCTGAGTGGGGCCACAAAATCCTCACCTTACCGAGCGAGCAATTTCCGAGAAATGGTCGAAATTTGCTCCAACTTATGGACGCCTGGTACTCGTGGCTTACCTATCACTTCCATTGCATCAAGATGATTTGAACCCTGGTTACAGTGTAATTTACAGTTAGAACTCATTTGTGCTACTACTGCGTTTGTCAACGTTCGGAGCTCTGAATGACATGCTTGTCATCTTAATTCTTCTCTTCTTCAAATACGCTGTGGAAACGCTGCGCAATCTTTTACCTTTTTTCTCTCTCTCTCTCTCTCCAATCATACCTCTTCATGCGCCTGCAAGGTACAATAAGATTTTGCCTAATCTTACTGAATCATTCGTTTGAAATCACTGCTTATTAATGTTTTGTCACTTGCTGGTAGTCCGCTTCGATGGTTTCATTTCACTGTATTTCCAGCGTTCTTTATAGTCATCCAACCATATATATATATATATATATATATATATATATATATATATATATATATATATATATATATATATATATATATATATATATAGTGCCCCATGCTGAGGCTGATGTTGCATTCTTGATGCTTCTTCACCGCAGTTGGGCTAAACCAACTTACACTTAAACTAGGTCTTTTTAAGCTGGCTAAATTTCATTCCGCTTTACTTGGTTTGTTCTGCCTCCCTGAATAATGTTCTATTAACTGGCCACGTTGCTTACACTAATTGCGCTTATCTTCGGTAATTTTGTTGCGTTTGTAGCATTTTAAGTAACTTGTGGACATTTCTTACTTATCACGGATTTGTTGCTAACCAACTTACTTCATATGGTAATTTAGCGAAGAGTTATGCCACCGTATCTGTATGCATTATTGGATTTATTTTATTTCAGCTTGTCGTTTAAAGTGAATGGCTGTTGTTTGATATCCCTGGTATGGTTGCGCTTGATGTGTATGTTGACAAGGTGCCTACCTGTCTATTACCCACTACATCGTTCATACTGGCTCCAGGAGACAGTTGGTCGTTGCTGGAGGGGACGGGGTGCACGGTTCTTGTGGCCGTGCTAGGCTCAAAGAGCGGTTCCATGCACTCAGTGTGGAGCGGACTACGGTCCAGCCACCGCCTTGTGTGCGGTTGATTCCCCAAATACAGCGTGCTTGTGTTTGCCTGTGAAGGAGTGTGGGCCGGCTCCGTTGATGAAACGTGGTTCCCATCCGCATGCCTCCCGGTCTTATTCCTTCGGGTTTACACTGGATATGTGGTATGTGGTTGGAGCTGTGGGTGGTGCAGCGCAAGCCATCCATGGTCCCTCTGTAGGCGCAGGCGTCCTGTGGCTTGCCACAGTGACAGGCAAATCCGAAACCGGATGCCGCCAACCATATATATATATATATATATATATATATATATATATATATATATATATATATATATATATATATATATATATATATATATATATATATCGTGTGGTCATCGCTAGTTTTGAGTTGTGGGCCCTGCGTTCAATCCACAGGATCTGTTCATCCAGTGTACCACTGCATTTCACAGTTGTTTCGTTCAAATGCGGCGTCTGTTTGATGGCTCTCGACCTCTTCCATATTGATTTCCACCCACAAATGGAGTAAATGTTTCTTAGACACCTCCAGCAGCTCCCCTTCAATTACAGTGCATATCTACTCCATATCTACTTTTACGTCCCATGGGGATTTACACTTCTACTGCACTGTGATCTCGCACTAGATGATATGATTCCAATGACAGTCCACTAAGTGCTAGTTTTGTCTCGGAGCTGGTTGAAGCATCAGCTCTCGTGTGCTGTCTGTACCTGTTATGTTTATCTCCCATCGGCTTGTACATTGCATGCTCAGCTATTCCAGGGTTAAATGTATTTTAAACCCTCTCGTTCTTAACTAGTCTTCATCAAGAAGATTGTATTTTCTCGGTTTGAATAAGTTCATATGGACTGTCTCTTTTTTATAACAAGCACACGGAAACCGTGTGACTGTTCTATCTGTCACCGTTCCTTCTGATTAGCATTTGTGGCATATCTTACTTCAGCTAACTTAACAGCCATTCTCTCTCTCTCTCTCATTCTTTCCACCTCAATCAAAGCAGCATTCCGCTGGACCAACTTGCAGAAATTTAAATCAGCTAAAACATCGCCTATTGTGTCTGGACAAGCAGAATAAAGCGGTCTGCCGGAGAGTGTCCGAACTCGTGCTTGAAAAACATCCGCTTTACGAATCGGAGCTCAATAGCGTGTTGCTTTTACAGAACGATAATCTGGAGACACTGGAACTATGCCGTCGAATCAGAAGGTGCGTGTACTACTCCGAATAACCAAGTATTACCTTGGTGCAGTGGCACTTCCTATTATCCCCGTGAATTCCACTGTCATCGTATCCAAATTGCCAGTCCTTTCTTCGGTTGCATTTCAGCCTTCCTCTTCACACACTCGCAGCTGTTCCGACTTGTCGAGACACATGCTCGTGTCTTCTTTAGATGTGTGTCCAAGTCTGTGCTTCATTTCGCATCGGCGGCCCGTAGTCTAAAGGGACGGAGCTTATCTTTTACATTGGCGGCGCTGGTTCGAGCTTGCGTGGAAGCAGGGCCACCCCCGCAGTACCCTTAGACCACATGCGACCGGTACTTCGGTTTGGTAGCTCGATCGCCTGGTGTGTAAATCGCATTTTGATCGCCAACAGTGTAGTCATAATGTGCCTGCTAATCAATGCAACTTCGTGCTGTGGCATGATAAAAGGGTCAACAGAAGTCTGCTTACTATTCATCCAGCTTTGCAGTAAACTGATTCCATGACCGTCTAATAACAATGCATCGCCACACTTGTCAGTTCTCTTCTTGGATACCACTGTTTGATGAGGCTTCTATGCATACAATTTGAAGAGCATATCATTGGTTTACATGGAATAATAGAACTGCGAATTCATAGACAGTCTTTAGTGTGGGGTTTGGTATAAACTTCGACCGGTAGTCACACGTGTGTGTGTGTGTGTGTAAACAGTGTATGTTGCTTCTTTTGGTTATGTAACCCAGATGACTACAAGTGCTCAGTTATCCGCATCGGTCTAAACTGGAACTATCCTATAGGATTATCTGGACTCCACCATTTCCTTGACGTTTTTGATAACAAGGTGCAGCCTGGAATTGTTTCGTGAGGAACGCACTGCCATTCAATGTGGACAAGTGCCGTGTTGTCCACATTCATTATCGACACTCTTACATCTGCAAGCTTGGGCGCAATCTGAAGATCAGGAACTTGACCACCTTGTGCTGCTACAGGCCCACTTCAGTTGTTTCAGACAGTTGGAGTCCGCTTCAAAAACGGCTTGTTGGTCTCCTAATGAGCGTAATCGGGAGTTTAGATTCATTTATCTTCTCTTTGACGCTCAATGCCTAAGTGCGTCCCCACCTCAAATCCGCTATCCAGGCCTGGTAATTATGGCTAAAGTTTGACCTCTCAACGCTCGGTACCCCGCAATGTCGCGCGACCAGAAATGCTAATGGTTTGCGCAACCCTCCGTACCAAGAACGACTGCAGGATATTCGGAGTATTCAGTGGATCCGTGGAGTCCTCGTATTACTTTATGAAATACTGAGTTAACCCGGTTGCGTATGCCGCTACCTTTTGCAATTCAGCCCGAACACCAACCTCAGAACTAGTAGCTTGAAGCTGAGTCAACAACACAGTCGTCGACAAACTTCTCCCTTTACATTTGCCTACTCAAGAACGCCCTACCAAACTCAGTTATCCGTAACTCCACCTTAACCATTTTCAGAAAGTACGATTGAACATCGCACTGAGTACCCTACACTTTGTTACGCGAACGGACATTCTGGGTATATCCACACTAACTAGCCTCCTTAGAAGTATAATTCATTGTAACGCATGCAAATCTATGTAAACTAGTGAGCAGTACACTTGTTATCTACTATTATCGTTTACCCTAACAACTTGTTACATGGTCCATTTTCACCCTCGCAACTCTGTGATGCCATTACTCTATCTATTCATTGGTGCGCATTTTATTTGGTCTACTGTTGTCGTATCCGCATTTACATTTCCTTTCATTATGAACCCACGGGACGCGTCATAAACCACTGTTCCATTGTTTTACTTCGGCCTTGCGGTGCATCTACTTCCTATTTACCGTACTAATCGATGTGGTTGTTCCCGTACCATATTTCTCACCTAAAACAGCATATTATTGATGAATCTCCTTTGTTATCACCATGTACTACCGTGCATACTAATGACCAAGCGTGTTAATTATCCCATCATTTGGGTCTTAGTTTGGACACATAATTTTCGATGAAATTCACGCACCCAAACGCACACTTCTTGCCTTCAGCCTACTCCACTTCACATTTCAATGCTAGTTCTTGGCGGATTTGATTTTACCACAGTTACTCTGGTTTTGTGCTATCCTGCTTCCTCCAGCGTTTACTTTTTTATGCTTATTGGGTTCGCCTTCCTTCCTCCAATCACTTGTGTTTCGGTGTGTTTCAATCGCTATGTGTATGCCCATTCTTCTTCCATTGTTAGATCTCTCAAATCATCCGCCAACATCCTAGTTCTTTCGCGACTGAGTGTGTTGCGAAATTTTCGCCGCCGTCTACGGCTACTCAAGGTGCTGCAGGTGATGCGACAAATGCGAACACTGCAGAACAATGCTCACCAGCTGGATCGTCTGCTTACCGTAAGAGAGATCGTCGGTGTGTATGAATGCTCTCTTGGTTTTGAGTTCCATAACGGTCTTCATTCGTTCCCCGTCGGACATTCCGATTTTTCACTTAATCACGCTCTTTTGCGCCCACATTTGTTTCCATTTTTCTGTCGATGGTGACTGTCCTTCTTTCTTGCCTCGATTTTTTTATTAGTTTGGTGAAACTTGCCTTAACTTAGCTCCATGTGTCGTCTAAGTTGCTAGCCCGGACCATTTTGAGCATACTCATGAGAGATTAGCGACGTTTTGCAGCCAGTCTTCCTGCATCACTTAACCCAGCAACTCCCTTCAGTTGGCCGTTTCACTGCTGTTATTATTGTGGCGATCTTTTCTGTAGCGCTGCGTAGGCCGCACACGAACTGAACCACTATAACCTTGCTATTTTCATTAGTCTAATCCAACATTACTGTCCAACACCGCCTTATGTTCGAAGTTACGAGCGATCATGGAAGGCAAGTCCGGGTTTGCGTGTAATTAACCTTTTGTACCAAACCGCTAAACCTTGCGCGTTGATTATGTTGCCTCGACGAGTGACGAAACATTTGCAAACAAATTGCCTAGTTTGGCGAACACCACATCAACTGACACACTTTATGCATATGGGTAACAGCGGCAGTTTCACAGCAACGAATGGTTTGTTTATTATCGTCACTAATGTCTGTCCCGCATTCCTCATTGATCAGCTCGCCTCTTGCTCTTCCTTTCATCCTTACAGCAAGGTAATTTTCACTCTGCCATTGAGCTCCATCGAGAAAGTCTAGTGGTTCTAGAGGGGTATCGACAATACCGATGTATGGAGTGAGTCATTCAAGTGCTTTCAGCATTGGTTACTTTATCTTGAAGTTGTTTTACCCCCCCTCCACTATCAATTGAGCTAGCGCCTGGTCTCAGCTTCCCTCAGCTGATCTTTCTGCATCCATTGGATTGGTTACTCTTACACGGATCTCATATTGAGGCCGCTTGAAAGTCGACATTGGTGGATGGGTCTGCATGCTACCAGACACGACGCGTTGATTTTCAGCGCTGACCAGTTCCACAATCATCGAGTTGAGTCTCTTCGAAGCCTAGCTGCTATGAGCTATCCTGCACGTAGATATACAATCTCACAACCATCTAGCTTTTTGTGTAATCTGACCCATCTGTTCGATTCCCGAATGAAACTCACCGAACAAATAGAAATCGGGTGTTGCCCGCCTGAAAACTCACCGAGATTTCGCAACTGATTTCACATCATGTTATGTTGTGTTTCTTCGGCGGCGCTTGTAGGCACAAACGGCGATCACACCTGCGACACGGTTTACACACAATGTTGTCGCGAACGTAAGCAGAGCATCACTTTCGTGGTCTGTCTCCCCCTCCAACCATGATCTCATTATTTAGCTTTGTATAATTTCGCATAGTATTTTTTTTGATGTACAGTAGCCGGCTGGTAGCTTACCGGAACGATGCCCATCCGTTACCGGTAGCTCAGCCGGCTTGCACCAGTTGCATACTTTTTCTCCTTTTTTCTGTGTATTGCGGCACAGTAGCTGAGGTGTTCCCCACCTCTAGCTAACGTGTAGGATGATGATGATATTCGTGGTCTGTACTCACGCCTGTTTATTACGTGTGAAGAAAACTACCCACGGTTTTGCGATGAATGTTTTCCCTTTTCTGCGCCTTGAACAACACACCTTGTCTTGTGTCACTGGTTCTATACCTTCTTCGGTCCGGTTCGTTGTTTCACTCTTCTCTAGTACATCTCAAATCACTTAATCTAGTGTGGCCCCTTCTTATCTTTACTTGGTCAAACTGTATCACTGGATAATTACAGCTCTAGCAGTTTCCACACTGTTCAACTTCGCATATTTTCAGCTCATCTGTGGCTACTTTGTTTATCTTCACACACGCCTCCGTGGCGTGCACAACCCACTACTGTACTGTTCTCTGGTTTTCTGCCCTTAAATTTCTGTGATCTTAGGCTGCCTTGTTGTGCATTGTTTGCCAATACCGTGTAGTTTGGGTGAAGCCCTGAGGTGATCACCCAATGATATGGCAAAACAGCATGGAGGAACTCACCGAATGACCAAGGTTGGTTCTCATTTTCTTCTTGGATTGGGCCCTTGTCGAATATTGCGCGATCACTGACTCGCTTGAGACCTTTCCTTCGTCCCATCATTTCTGACTTTCAACTATTCTAGCTGACGCTTTTGATTCCCATCTATTTCTATAGAATGACATTATTATTACTCCGACGACTTGGATCAGAGCAACTAGATTCAGCCCACCTTCGTGCACTTTTCGATGTTTTCGGTAGAGAGGCTGCAAAATGGGAAGGAATTTAGCCGGCACGCCCTTCATGGATAGGCAGTGCCACAAGTTTGCGCTGTCAACAGAATCAAAGTCAGCTTTGCAGTCACGGTAAACCGCCATAATCGGTCCTCCGTATGTGCGTCTCTGCTCTAAGACTTCTCACTGGGCCGTCCCCTTGGATCCGCCCTTATACGTAAAAGTCAAACATGGGATCAGACTGTTGAAATTTAATGAGGCCGCAGTTGCATATTTTCCCCCAACCCTCTACAAATTCGAGGGGCCTGCTCTTCAACCGACGTGCGTCACTATCCGTTGTGGACAAATGTTTGATGTTTGGATACCGAGTGGTGGCACCATAGTAATTGAACAGGTAAGCCTTACAGCAGTTTCATACCGGGCATCCAAGTATCAACCCCACAAAAGCCCTAGCACACAGTTTTGTTTGTTGGCCCGGAATGCATTCCGAAATTGAACAATTCTACCAAAAATGGGAATTTTTTCATCTGGCGACAAAGGCCCTTCCAAGTGCCCCTGCAACCTTGGCCTAAAACAGAGAAACTATGGCAGCGAATCCACTTAGATTATGCAGAACTAATCGCCAGTCAATCCTATATTGTTTTGGTGCACTCCCTCACCAAGTAGCCCGATGTGATCCCGATGCAGAGTCCGACTGCCCAGCACACGATCAACGAGCTGGATAAGCTGTTCCAGTATTTCGGCCTGTCAAAGATGATAGTGACAAACAACGGTACGCAATTCACTTCAACTTCCGTTCGCGAGTGGTGCAAGGATAAAGCAATTCATCAGATGTTCTCACCACTCTATCACCCGCAGTCAAACGAACAGGCGGAACGGCTCGTAGATACCTTCAAATATGCTCCTTGTAAAGCGGGCCAAAACAAAGTCCCAAAGGACGCGTCCAGTCCTTCTTGTGCATATATCGGAATGCGTCAAACCCAAACGCCCCAAATGAAAAAGCCCCTGCCGAAATTTTGTTTGGACGAAAGATCCGGACATTGTTCGATAACCTTGTGCCAAGCAGGAAAGAAAAGCGTTGCAGTTGTCAACTGGAGGAAACTCTGGCAAACGGGCTTCGTCATTTCAAAATTGGTGACATAGTGTACACGCGAGACTTCCGAGGACCGAGAATGTGGTCGACAGGAAGAATGATCCGCAGAAATGGTCGAGTCACCTACGGGCTAATAGTAAGAAATGAGCAATGGGTCAGGCACGCTAATCTGCTGAAGCCGAAGTGCATCAAGACTCAAAGTCCCCCAGAATCGTCATCCTTACCGTGGGACCTCCTGCTAGACATCTTTGGTTTGGAAGATGAAGCTGAGTGGTTACGTGGATCACCACAGGCGTTGCAAGTAACAAATGGCGCGCAGTGCAGGCCGGCGCGAAAGCGGAGACGACCACAATGGCTGCAAGTTGACCCCAGGGCGATAACCTATGAACAAAGTCGAGTTCGAACGGTACGCAAGCAGACTCACTACGAAAAAGGAACTAGTAGGCGATCGCAACTGATGAACGGCGCGACATGTTTTCGAGGCATGACTTGGACCTAGGGCAGATCTCGCGGTCAGCTGAATCACTCACTCCATCGTCGTCGCACCGGTTGCTATGGCTTTGGACGTCATAGTGTCAATAGCTAGACAGTGGAGGCCGCTACCAGGTTTGAATCTGTTTAGACAACTGATGTGAATCACCCCGGTAACGGATAGCCGAAGCGAGTGCATGTGACTTATAGAATAACTATGCTCTATCTCTAATAAACTTCGGTCTGGCAGGCTTCGGTCTTTTTGCTTATTTTATCGGCTGGGTTAGGGACGCAGAGGCAAAGGGTAGCGTTACAACATAGATGCTTTGCACAATTTACTAGTGACGTTGTGGAGTAAGTGACTGTCCCAACACACTGGAATAACTCCGTCATAGTCCCAATTTTCCTGGGAGGCTTCTGTTAATAATACGGCAATCTTAGATGGATCAGCCTGACCTCAACTGCCGCCAAATTGCTTGCGTCTGTCATTCTCCACAAACTGGCTAGCACTCGTGCAAGTCAAGTTCGTGCTGGACCAGCCGAGCTTCGTCGAAACGGACGCTGCATCGACCAGATTTTTACATTGCTTCAATTGTTGGAGCACCGCCATATATGTCGGCGACCCACAGTTGTCTTTCTCGACATCGTAGGTGCCTTCTATTCGGTGGATCGATTTTCATTTTGCGACTGTCTACTCAGGAAGGCGTGTCCGAAAATACGTAAACATTATTATAGAGCTGTACGCGCGGAGTTCAGGCAAAGTGAGGGTTTACGCAAACTGTCGCAGCCCTTTAATATCTCCATTGGTGTGAGACAAGGTTGCTCGCTTTCTTCTCTCCTCTTTAACTTCGCCATTGACGAAGTCATGAAAACTGCGTTCACTGAACACGACTTAGAAGGTGTGGAGCTGCATTCTGGTGAACGACTTCTTGAATTGGAGTATGTTGACGGCAGTGCCAAGCAGCACTGGACAAATTAGCACTGGCTGTCAACCGCTTTGGGTATTGCTTTGCTTCATGGAAATGCAAAGTTTTTCTCCAAGATTGGCATGGAACCACCCTTGCGCTGGCTCTTGGTGGTGGTCAGCTAGAGGTCGTTCAGGAATTCAAGTATCTGGGCAGCAATATTAGCACCCGTGTGTTCGAAGATCAAGTCACGAACCGTATAGCATAAGCTCGAGGTGCTTTTACCAATCTCCGCCACCTGAAGGTTAGAGTGTTTAATGCAGCTGTCTGTTCAACCCTCCTATACAGTTGTGAGAACTAGCCCATCAAGTCGACAGACATAAAGAGGCTAGCTACGTTCGACCATTGCTGTCTTCGCAACTTCTCTCATGTCTGGCGGGAGCACCACCTGAGCCATGAATGTGTTCGGTGTCATGTATTTTGTGCAGCAAAAACGAGTGAATCGTTCATCACCAAGATCCGATTGATGGGCCACGTGTTGCGCATACCAGTTCACCGACTCTCACGTCGTGCGTTGTTTGCGCGCCCAGGGTCTGGATGGAAAAGGAGAAGCGGAGGTCAATCGATGACTTTGTCGATAGAAATGAAAACTACCACGTTGCCGTCGGTGGTTGCATCCCGACAGCCTGGTTGGGTGCCAAAAGACGATGAACATCACTCACTCAACGGCTCCCCCAACGATGTTGCTTCTTTGCGGACACCGTGGGTCAACGACGAGCCACGATGATGTCACGAACCCATTCGGAAACACTAGCTGCCCTGCAGTTTTATATGTTTAGTCATGGACCAGCAAACTGGCGTTACACAATCTCCCTAAAAGTTATAGGCCGCTTCGCATAGAAACTCTTTCGTTTTCTTAGTCGCCAATCATGATGTGGCTATCGACCGGCACTACTCTTTAGCTATCGTGAGAACCGACTGTGTTGAGCGTGTTCTGCAGTAGTACTTTGCTCACTGTACTGTTGAAACACGCAATCATGTCTACAATGCGTCGCCTACTTAGCGTCCACTTGATGCTCCTTCCTCCCTCCTTTTGTGAACCTTTTTACGTGTGATTTTTTGTAGCAGCGCAGACGCAGGCGCGTCAAGCCAGCTTACCTCAACTGCGCTTAATGTGTTCATGCATCCTATTTTGTTGGATTCACTTTTTCTGGCACCAGATGAACTAAATCGAAGCATGTCGGATCGAGCTTTTACTTTACTCATTTCTGCTGTGCTTTTAAAGCGGCATTGTTTATAAATGTCTTAGGTGCAAACTGGGCCCATTTCACGCGCTCAACGCCTACAGCTATGTTGAGGGTCACATATTTAGTTACTTTTACACTGCGTATTGTACACAGCAGATTACATGACGGATGTACTGGCTGATGCGCCTATCCCATGATCAGATGACCGTTGCACCTGGAGTTCGTACAGTGTCAGTGTTTCCTCGGATACCGAAACGTACATTTTCCCTTGTTCAAACTACGCTCACTCGTGAACGGTCCACTCACTTTTACTTCATTGACTCTGGCATAATTGCTTTCCCTGCAACACTGATTTTATAACCAGTTACTTATGTGCCGTGCGCTCTGAAACTGCTGCTTCTTTCTCGCAAACACCACACACGATCCGCGTGCAGTGATTCATTGAAGATAAACTACATCTAAGCACCTCATATGAAACTTTTGCAATAAGAATTACCAACCATAAAACCTCGATTTTTCGCGCAGCGTAAACAGAAAAGTTAGAACAATATGTTCCCTTTATAATCCCAAACAGGAGAATCAGAAGACGTAGATTGTGAGATGACGTCGCCGTTTCGTGCATTCTTATCAATCACAAAAATATGCAGCAATCATATATGAACAGTCAACAGTCAAAGAGATCATATATAGCTTCGGATTTGCGCTACCAGGGTGGACTTAAAGTCACAGTCAGTTGTTTTTGAATGCACAGCGGCGATCGCTCGCAATCCATAACGATGGCCTTCAATAGCCTAAGCATGTGGGGCCGCCGATCGCTCAGTAGGACAGTGAATGACTCATCAGTGGCTGGTGGTAAACATGTGCTTTGTGATTGTCGAGGAAGTTCGGTTACCGGATTCCGTCGTTACAGACACCATTCGGCTGCAGCAGTGCAAACCAACGAAGGCCCACTTGTTTGATCTTGACGCGCACAGTGCACTGGATGTTTAAGAATGTTATTGTCTGCGGCACACAGAGATTACTATTACCTGGATGTGATGGAATTGTGCGGTCCTGCGCGATAAGTCATCAAGGGGAAATAATCTTAAATGTGCAAGAAATCAAAGTTCGCCTCCGACTCTACCTTTGGCGTACTATCATTGAAGGTGCATTTATTTAGCCCTATTACTCACCATAATTACTGTTATTCTACGCATCAGTTAGAGATGGGAAACACTTCAGCTTATGGGCCACAACACGATGCAGTTACAGAGTCGCCAACGAGATAAAAACAAAACAGTGCAAAACGGTTGATATTATGCTAGTTTTTATTAGGCATCGGTAGTGAGATCGGGATTAGAAGGGGATGCGCAACGGAACTCACAACACAATTGCCACTGTGGTTAGCTCTTTGTCATGCACCTCGTCTTTCGTGCCCCAACCCGGAATTCGTGAGACGCTAACCCAGTTCGTTAGAAGTGGGCACCTTCATTCCTCCCGACCATTCCTTCGGTTGACCTCCCTTCCTCTTCGTCTAACCAGTTCCCGGTCGCGCAAACGACGCGGAAGTCGCTGTGCTGGCATGCGCAGCACGTGACCCGGTGATCGGAGCCTGGTGCATGAAATAATGGTGCTGAACGGTTCAGTCGCTCTTCCTGCGCCAAATACGCAACGCCAAACACGCCCATTGCTCACCCGATGTTCGTAGCAGACATGATCTAAACTGCGAGCCCAGTGCTCGAAATAGCAGAGGTTTGCTTCAAACCAAATTGTAGTCTCAATTGAGGTTACGTGCCGGAATTCAGGCACACGACGGGTACACCAAGACACAGTAATGCAAAAATAGCGGTTGTCGAACGTAACAACCCTGTTTAAGCCTGTCGATCTGATGGGTCAGGTTTCGTAATCGTACAAGTGGATTGAACGGACGGTTACATTGTAAACTCTGCTCCTTAGAGTAAGTGTGATGTCTGACCGGCACCAGAGGTGACAGGCGGGTGCGTTGGTTTGTTTGTGTGCTTGCGAGCTTGTCATATTCGTGCTTGTCAACCACACGGGAGCTCGATATAAATCCTGTGGCAATCTTCCTGTCAATTGCATTATTGAGTCCCAGAACATTTGCCTCTTCTTTTGGATCGCAATTTACCACATCTACTCTCTTGGGACGTTGTCATTTCCGCAGACCGATTCACACGAAACTAAAAGCTTTTGGTCCACGAATTGACGACCTCCTCGACAGCGACTTACAGAATAGCTGTGAGCACTTTACAGAATCCGCTTATGCAACCGTGCAGCAAGCCTTTGAGTAAGTCACCTGTTGTTCAGACTACACTTTGCCATCCACAATCATTTGCGCAGTTACTTGCCTTGTTGCAATTCCTGTTCGGTTTTACCATGAACTTCAACATCGGCAATCTCGTTCCACTGTTCATCATTAGCTGCACACTGTCCCTTGTAAGTGAACACAGCCCTTAGTGTAATAAATCGGAGCATTTCAGATGAATCTTCTCATGTATTGTTTAAGTGTGGCCTCTAGATTCATTCTCCGTTCGGAATCCACCTCACAGTCATTGTGCAGCATCTGTAGGCCACACAGTGGTTGCCTCTCTTCTGTCTAGGTATGCAACTTTGGAGCAACCGTCCATAGCAAGCGGACCCCTAGTTTTCACTCGGTAATTGTGCTTACTATATTCCCATGGCTATCGTAAGTAGTATTTTCACTTCCTTGCGTACTCGATCTCTGCTGTCCTAATTTCCTTCTTTTCCAGGCTACTAGGTAGCACCCAGACAACCTTCGCCCAACTCCAAATGCATTACGTATCCGCGATTCATAGACGTTCGCGTTCCATTGTGCAATCTTATTCGACGCTAGGCGAGGAGGACACCGACCACTCTGAAGCCACGGCGTCCACTTATCAGGAGCTTTGTTCTGTGAGTCGGTTGCTTGGTTAGATTAACTGTTTCCAAAAATTTATCACAAACCGCACATTGTCTTTTCTAACCGTTTTTATCCCATGTGTTCATGCTACACCAGTTTTTTCTGGCTAACAAGGTTCACAGTTATGTCATCTGATTGATTCCTTGTATGATGCCATGGTTTGTGGATCGTCGTGCTCCGTTGAATTACGCTTGGCAACCCTTCCAATGTGTATTCAGCGCCGATCATGTAAGGCCGGACAAACACGATCTCAACATCTCACTGAATACCAAAGTTCACCGATTATTCAATTTGATCGGCGCAGCACCCGAGCAACAAGGTATGTACTTCGTGGCTGGAGAGCGCAGCTGCTCCTAAATAATGTGTTAATAGTCACTCGCTTGAGTAAAGCTGGGGAGCTGGACGTAGGCATGCGGGCCAATCAGAGGCTGCAAATGCAAATGAGTCAGACGTGTGTGGTATCGGATAGTCGCTTGAGCGAAAGAAAGTTAGCAACATATGGCAAATCGGCCAATCAGGTGTACGCATCGACGAGCCAGAGAGACGAATCGCGGTTCACTCAGTAGCGGATCGGTTTAGCCGGAACACCAACATGCAGAAGAGGTAGGCACAAAGGACCAGACAGACAAAGCGGAGCTGCCGTACGCAACCGTGGCTCAAGCCGAGTGAATGAAGACGGAGCAGAAGCCAAGGGAGACAAGTCGTGCGCGCGATCGATGGACGCAAAGTAACGCGAAAGACGCAGTGGAAGCGAAAGCGGCCAATGTATAGGCAATGCCATGCAGTATTAAATGATACCCTGATTTTTCAATAACAGATTCTGATCGTTGCCCATACTTTCTTTTAACTCTCAATGCGCTACACGACAAGTGGTTTATCACGGTCCGCCATACTTCTGTCACTTGTTGGTTAATATTATGCAAAAGCTTGCCTGTATACGGCCATTGTCGCAACTGTACACTCATTCTCTATAAAGCTTGGGTCAGTCCCTCAATATGGCTCACTGGGGCTTGTGGGGGCGATATCCTGACAGATCAATAATCGGATGCTCTTACCCTGCCACACTTTCATGTCCTAGAGGCCTCGTAGCAACCTCTGGTTAGGAGTATGCTTATATCCTTCCTTTAGCTGAGAGCCACGACATATCCTCGTGAATCCACTGACTCGGCGCATATCTCGCTGCATTTCGGGAATACATTTTATCTTAGATTGACTCAGGATTCATAACGTTCTCCTGTTCAAGTATCGACGCCTTAACAGTACATCAGTCCAACATGACAATCACATTTATAAATAATTTCATATTGTCTTGGCCGTCACGCAGTTCGGGCAACAAGGTCACCATACCTGCTGCATAGCGTGAGGTAAACAAACGATAACACGGTAATTCTGGCGCCCCCGCTCTTTCTTTTTTTCTTTTCCGTCCACATTCTCCTTCCCCAGTCATCATTTCACCTGACCCACCCTACCTGTCCCAACTACTCGCTCCAGCGTCTGCCGGGCGTAACCGTTTGCTTCCTCTGAAAGCACTCAAGATCTGATGCTGGAACATACCCACACTGCTGGACCGGAGTACGTATGAGCATCCCGAGCGATGCACGGCACTATTCGCCATAGAGTTTGGTCGCTGCGGCATTTAGTATTGACGCACTCAGCGAGGATCGGCTGACTGACTAGCGCAAGCTGCATGAGACTGATGCTGGGTACACGTTCTACTGGGTGGGAAATGCCACCACAGCACCACGTGAACCTTTGGTCAGATTTGCACTATCAGACCGCCTAAATGGCGAGCTAGTGGGAGAGCCGACTCTCATCAGCCCATTCTTGATGACACTTTGCCTGCGACTTGGAAGAGGTAAGTATGCCGCTTTTATTAACATGTATGGTCCTACTGTGTGTTATCCTATTGACACGAGGGATCAGTTTTACCCTCACTTGATCTCCGTGAATCGGTATGGGCTGACGAGCGACCGGCCGATCCTAGTAAATGATTTCAACGCGCGTTGTGTATGATGCCGCAGTGTGGACAGATGTAATCGGTCCGTATGGTACTGGCACATCCAATCGGATAGGTGACCGGATGCTCTCATTATGTGCCATTCACTGCCTGACGATCACAAACAGTTTGCACTGGGTGCGAGCAATATTCCTACCTGGGCACCCACGAAGTGGTCACGCTCATCTGTTCGACTATGTCATCGTACGCTGTGTAACATGCATCGAGTGTGCATGACACCTGTACTGCGTGGAGCTGAGTGTGGCACTGATCACAAGTTGGCACGTACCAAATTGTGCATATATTTTCGTAAACCTATGTATTGCTTACCTGTCGTGAATCGGCGTCAATTTAGTGTTCATTTCCTAAGTAATACGGAGAAGAGGAAGGAACTGGAGTATACCATGTCGACTGCATCGCGTCAGTCGGCGACCTGTGGTGCCACATCCTTGTATAGGTGACAGTTGCGGCCGAGGAAATCATCAGGCGCGCAAACTGTAGGCGGCCCGATTGGTTTATTGGAAACAGTGCGATCATTGTCGTGTCGTAGAATGATGCAGGATTCACTGCATATGTCGCGGATCCTGCTGATTTCGGGAAGGCGTCGTTTTCGCAAACTTCAACGGCCATTGACTCGAGAGATCTGTCACACCAAAAATGCATGGTGGGCGGAGAAGGTGAAGCAGATGGAATGCTACGCCGAACCCTGCCACCATAAAGAACTCTTTGAATCCTTGTAGGCGATGTATGGACTCACGTTGCAGCGGCTGTGGGCGTTGGTGAGTGCTACTTCAGGCGCAGTCTCCACACAGACTGAAGACATAATGCAGATCTGGCGAGCGCTTTTTAATTGTCTCTTGAACAACCGTTCGATAATTGATTGGGCTATGTTGCACGGGTTGCAACAGCAAAATATGTAGGTTTGGCTTGCCGACAGACCGACACTATGTGAGACTCAGACAGCATTAGCTCAGCTGCGAAATGGCAAGTGCGCCGGAGCCGAAGGTATACCGCCAAAAGTGTTGAAACACGGCTGACCCGCTTTGATGAATGCGCTGCACCACTTGGTGCAACATGTGTGGTTTGAAGAAGAGTTGTCATCCGATCTGAAAGATGCCCTTATACAAGAACAAAGGGAGCAAGCAATGTGCTACGATTTATCGTGGTATCCGAGTTGTGCAGGGAAGGTGATCCCTCAAATCCTGCTCAACCGCCTTGTCACTCAGGTCGTTGAATCAAACTTGCCGGAAGAGCAATGCGAATTCTCCTCGGGCCGCACCACCGTGGATATGGTGTTGGCGACACGACAGTTGCAGGAGAAATGCCTATAGCGACACCAGCCATTGTACTTACTATTTGTTGACTTCACCAAGGCATTCGACACGGTGAACCTCAAGGCACTATGGCTGGTGTTGGGTAATTTTGGTAGTCCACGTTTGTAAATTTGATTGAGTTTCTGCGCAATGGTTTGCGGGCGAGCATGCAGCCGTGTGAATAAATCTCGGATGACTTTGCTATTGTCTCTGTTGTGAACTAAAGCTGTGTCTTAGCCCTTACTCTGTTTAATATTTACCTTGTTGCAATGATGTCTTGGGCTTTTGTTGCTGATTGTGACTACGGTGTCCGTATGCAGCACCGTATTGATGGCGGGTTGCTGAACATCCGTCGTTTCGGTGCGAGGACCCGATGGCGTGGGACATCTATCCGTATGTTGCCTTTTGGCAACGACTTTGCGTAGTTTGCCTACAACGCGCATGAGTTGTAGTGCATGACAACGGTTCTCGCTTTGACGGAGGCCAAATTCAAACTCACCATCATCACAAGTAAGCTTTTTTATCTTTTCCAGCTTTCAGCAGCAATAAACTCCGTGAACTTGCCACAAATCCAGATTGGCATCGACGTTTTGGTAACCAACACCCACTTTTGCTACCTTGGGAACGTACTGTCTACCGACCTCCAGATTACGAGCGAGCTGCGCATCCGCATACCGAGGGCGGATACTGCATTTGGAAAGCTGGCAAAGTGTGTGTGGGGGAATCACCGGTTTAACGTTAGGATGAACCTGATGGTGTACCGGTCAATTGTACTGTTTCTTTCTCTATACGGTGACGAAACTTGGACACTGTACCGGAAGGACGTCAGATATCTGCGGTTCTTTCATTAACAATGATTGCGTCGGATTCTGTGTATCGCTTAGTGTGATAGAGTTGCGGACATGGAGGTGCTCTGCTGCAGTAGCATGTATGCAGTGGACTGCATAATTCTGCTGTGGCACTTGCGGTGGCTGGCATCTGCCCGTCCCATGGATTTATCGTGGACGCCGAAGCAGCTGCTGTATGGTCAACTTAGTGCAGGGAGGCGAAACGTAGGGAAACCGGAGCTACGCTAGCAGGACATGATCAAGGTGAGTTTGTCACTAACTAATGTTTACTTTAGGTGTTGGCAGGCAATGGCAGTAAATTGTAACCAAGGACGCGTCCATATCCAAAATGTGGTTGCGCAGGTGCGCGCGAATGTATTGCAGCATAAGAAAGCGAAACGTTGATTGAGGAAGCAACATGCCGGTGGGGTCTAGTCCAACGACGTCAGGTACCTGGTGCTGTATCGCATGCGGTCGCGATTGCCTCAGCCAAGATGGTCTGGTAAGTCACTAGCACAGGTACGCTGGACTGATGTTAAAGAGGTGACGAGTCAGCTGCTTTGGTAATCATCATCAGCGCAACTCTTGGTAAGTACATTTTTTTCCGATTCAATGCCACTTACTAACACAGGTCAATAATGCGACCGATATGGCACTTATGCAACATAATCGCTGCCGTCGGTCTGTATCTTTGCATGCGTCTTGGTTTTCTCGCATTTCAGGTGTTGCCTGTTGATTGATATGCTTGTTGTGGCTGTGCTTGATGTGAATGTTGATTACTGCTGTCGATTACTGCTTCCAGGGACTGGGTGTCGTTTCTGGGGGACGTAGTACACCGTACTCACGGCCATGCTAGGCTCAAAGAGTGGTTCCATCCAATGTGGATCCAACTACGACCCAGCCACCCCTTATGTACATCTGATACGCATGATTCCCCCATAAATATACAGGCATGCTGCTGCTGTGTATGTTGAAAATGTGTGGGTCGCTTCCCATCCGCATGTCTCGCGGTCTTATTCCTTCGGGTTTAGGCTGTGTATGTGGTGGGTGGTCGTAAGCCACCCATGATCCCTCTGTAGTCGCAGGCGTCCTGTGACTGTCTTCACGGAGCCCGCAGTGACAGGCAGAGTCGAATTACGCCAACAATATTCCCGCGTATTGTCTTTTTTGTTACTTCAGGCATTTACAACTGTGAAGCAAAATTATAAAACCGATCTGCCAGTGAACGCTAGGCCTGAATTAGACGAACCACGTGTTCCGTATCACCCATCGATTCAGCACGGCGCGCCATCTATCCGTTTCTTAGTTTATCGGACCAGGTCGCTCACACAGAACACAAGTGAGGGCAACGGTGACAAACCCTGGTGCCTGTCTTGTTTAAGATGAGCAGGTCTCATCAGAACATGTTCGTGACCAAGGTAAGATCAAGGCTTGCACTAGCGTCCGTTGTTTTCACAGTTCTCGCTTCAAAACCTTGATTGCCATGGCGTCGGTCGTGTTTAACTGGTTTTCACATAGCTTGCTATGACGACATTCCTCGAAGAAAATCCCTTTCAAAATGACTAATCAGGAAGCATCATTTGTCCACAAAACCGCGTAGTCGGCTTTCTTCTTGTCCTTAAACTTCATCTCCTTTTTTAACAAACTGTCATACTACAAGATTCAGCCTTCATCCCGCTTCGGGTTCTACATTTTTCCGATCCTGTGTATGCACGGTTAACAAGTGACGTCCGTTATGCTGATTCAGCTGTTCTGTGTATATGCAAACCTCAAATAGGAGGATGTTTCGTGATACAAGGCGTTTATGTTTAGTAACCAGGAAACATACAATTCCTCATCCTTGCCACTTGTGGATCGTGGCACTGTGCCATTTCGTTGTAACGAGATGTCTGCGTTTTGGATAAATGATTGCACGAAACCTATATTTACAGATTATCAATGTAATACTCAGATTTGTCAGCGAAGTGGATGTACGAAGCACGCGTCGGCGTTTGAGTACAGTGCAGTATTAGCCTGATGGTGTTTGTTAACACTTTCTCTAAAGCACCAACTGTGATCCCGTGATATTCCTGCAAAATGCTCTGCTACAATTCCTCAAGAGAGTCCGATTTCGTCTTGTAAACTCGCTGTTTCAAATAACCCCAGAGGAAGAAGTCCAATGGGTACAAGCACGTCAATAGCCTACGAAAGGTGAGGCAAGAATTTCCTCCACTCATGATGGCTGATGGCCCAACAAGAACGGATATGGAAGCAGAAAACGCGCTGCGGATGCAATATGCCTCCACGTTTCAGAGAGTCTTGCCACCAAGCGATCTTCCAACCTTGGTCGTCTCCTCGTCAGGACTAACCCACATCACTTTTACCGCGGAGGCTTTATTGCAAAAGCTGACGTCTCTACGCAAACACAGCTCGCCGGGTGTTGACACCATTCGTCCAGATGCACTGGAGCCAGCAGCAAGCCAACTGGCATGAACTTTAGATCAGTTTTTTGGCGCTGCTTAGATCAGAATCAAGTTCCCGTCATGTGGAAGCTTGGGATAATAACCCCGATTCACAAAGGTGGAAGCAGAACTGATCCCTCCAACTACCGCCCAGTATCCCTTCTTCCTATACTCTCCACGGTCATGAAACTCAAAGGTGCCGATGCACTGGTGAGCTATCTGGAAAACTGTAACATCATCACGCCTGAGCAGCACGGTTTCCGTCGACAGCGGTCATGTACAACAAGTTTACTAATCGCACGCAGTAGTTGAACCGAGTCATCTGATTCTTGGGAAGTCCTTGGTGTGATCTGCCTGGATTTTTCAAAGGCTTTCGATCGTCTAGACCATCGGATACTACACTCCAAGCTCCAGCATTACGGCATCAGCGACTGTCTTTTAGCTAGATTGCCAACTTTCTACTTCGATGGCAATTAGTGGCCAGAGTTTGGAGCTCTTTATCGGACCCCATAGAAGTCGATTGTGGTGTGCCGCAAGGCTCAGTTCTAGGTCCACGTTTGTTTTTGGTGTTTATTAATGACCTTGCACAGGGAATCGCTTCAAACTTCCTAATGTTTGCTGACGATATCAGGATTTGGCGCAGAATCCAGGTGAACACCGACCAGCAATGGCTTCAGAGTGACCTAGAAACGGTTAACTCAAAATTTACTGCATTTCAACGTCAGTAAATGCAAGGTGCGTTCCATCCGACATCAGAGCAGCTACTCATACCGGCTCGGAACGAGTATACTACAACAATCAACTCTCGAAGGTGACTTGGTTGTCCTGGTTCAAGATGACTTGAGTTGCTCCAGACAATCCGAAAAGGCCTCGAAGACTGGAAACCAACACGTCGAGCTGTTGCGACGGGCGTTTGGACAAATAAAGAGCTCCATATTTCGACAAATGCGCAGTGTGTATGTTCATCCCCATGTCGAGTACGCAATTCAAGCCTGGCATCCATAGCTGAAACACTACCTTAATGCACAGGAGCAGCCACAACGTCGGGCATCTAAGAACATAATTGGAATACGCAATCTTTCATAACAGGAGAGGCTGCAACAATTGAGGGTATTCAGTGGAAACTGTTGCAGACTATGAGGCGACCTGATTACTGCATACTTGCTTCTGCGAGACCCACATCATTTGTGCCCCCTTTACTGCGATTCAGCACCAATGCAACCCTGAGGGGCCACTCATTGAAACTCGCTGTACAGTATAGCCGCCTGAAGTGCCGCAGAAATTTCTTTCCCACTCGTGTCTGTCACCTGTGGAATGTTCTCCCAGAATCGGTCGTCTCTGCATCGACACTAGTAGTATTTAAAAGACGGCTGGATGACGCATACATCCACTTGCACTTTGTCACAGCGCTACGTCTCCATCCTACACCTGGAGTTTACTGTGGAATTATTTGACTTTAACTGCGGTTGCTGTGAATCTAGGCGGATTGCAGAACTACAGCGGAGCAAACGGTAAGTCCTTCTTTTCATATTTGAAGTATTAACTTTCACTATAATTATTATTATTGTTATTTCGATATCCCCACCAACTATCCAATGGGACTTGTAAAGCAACGCTTCATAACCGTATAAATTCATGGTAATCACACGCTGATTAGCAGGCACGTAACGCGATTCGCATTGAGGGTAACTTGGTGACAGCGGTATATGCTCGTGATCCATCACCCAGCCAGTGATCCGATAAACAAATGGAAAGAATTTCATCACTTCACCTAGTCAGCCTGACTGCTGCTGCTGCTGCTGTGCGTGTGTGTGTGTGTGTGCATTTTGTGGCCAGCCTCGCCCTACTCTGGTGAGGTCAGCGCTCGTTGCCCTCACACAGTCCTCCGTTAGTGGTTTGCCTTTTAGTCCGCAGTCATATCGGAGTCAGGTTATCGTGTAGTTTGGATAATGAGGTCGGCTGAGTCTCCGTGTCAGAGTTGCCGTCGACGATGCAGTTTGCAGTCGAGTCTCCACTTCACATGCGGTCCGACAAAAGGGCAGAGGGACAACTGTGACAGTTTACGCGCGGTCTCATGGAGACTTACGCTCCTATACAGCGTGCCGATTGGACATCTTCAGTTTAGAGAGAACGCGTCGGGTTTCCTTCAGGCGTTCATTGATGGACCTATATCCTCAGACTATCTGTTGACTAGATTTTCTTAATCTGGATAAAAGTACCCTACTTTATCTGATTTTCTCAGTTCTGTTGTTCTGCTGCAGATTTTGTGTAAATTTTACGTGTTTATTCTCCTTCAAATTCTTTGTTGATTGATATCCCCAGTGTGAATGTTGATAAGGTGCCTACCTGTCTAACATCCCATCGCCTCGATTTCTGTCTCCAGGAAACTGTGAGAGGGGCGGGATGCATGGTCCTCATGGCCGCAAGCGTCCTGTTGCTGCTTCGTGGAGGCCGCAATACAGGCAAATCCGGAACCGGATGTGACCAACCATGCTTGGAATGGATCGAGGTTATAAGTTGAAAGAAGTTAGGATACAATCGGTTGGCGCATTTTTTCTGGCAACGTTTCGCTTCTAACACGCAAGCTTCATCGGGCTAGATGAGTCAGTATGCAATTGTAGCGCCATGATAATTCACCTTACCTGACGAAGCATTTATGTCAAAAAGGAAACGTTGTCCAACGAATACGTCAACCGACTGTTCCCAAACCTGAAACCAGCGCTTTCTTGATGCGACTTCACACTAGCTCAATGTCAGACAGCCTTCCATGCATTCGGAAATATATACGGGAGGGCCTAGTTCTGCGAGCTAAAGCTGTCCTCTGCAAGTTTCGTGACTTGCATGCCAGTGAAAGATGTACCGCTCTATATCCTTTCCGCTTGCAAGTCACGAACTTCTGCCGCCGTCACTCATGTTCTGGTGACTTAAGCCGCCGGTGGATCCTGAAAATGCGCACTACCGACAAGTCTCAATGGGACAGAACGGTCGTCCAGTGCTTTTCCCGACTGCGGGGTACTGCGGAACGCCATGAGTAAATTCGTACTTTGCCTCATCTTGTCTTGTTTTTTTGGAGTGGTAGTTTTTTAATCATATTTCTTTCGTCGCATCAAATGCAACGCGTTTCACGGTCTCGAAATCCATCGTGCTTTATAAATCCCTCTTGCTCTAGTTCCTCTTCTGTTCATCATCGCTCAGAGCATTTGATTGGCACATGATCAAACTGATGTCCATCCGTTCTCCCTTTCAGCATCTCTCAGCACACTCCCTCCCCGATTGTCTGTCCTCCGTGTGTCAGAGTATGTGGCTCATCTTGTTGTGCTATCACCGGACCACACAATGGCACAGACAACGTGCATGCGGACAAATGGTTTGCCATGTGAGTCATTTTTTGGACACATACATGTATATTAAATTCTGTTGTATCACCCTTCACTTGCTTCCGTATCTAATGTACCCTACTTGAGGAGTAAAGGCGATCTGTACTCTGACGTGCAGCTGTTCTCCGCAGTCTGTTTCCCTTAACTTTCTAATACTTAGGACCTCTTTTCTTGTTGTACATGCTAATTTTCGACGCCTACTGGCCACATACGTCTCTTCATCTTACTTGTGATACCTTTCTTCCACTTTCTACTGGTTTTCATCTTATTGTTGCTCTTTCTTCCGCTCTTCTTAGCCACTCAATCGACGGTTACATGCACTGTTACTGCTCGAGGTGCCTTTGTACCCATCCGGTTTTCCACTCGATTTTCAATCTGCCGCCTTTTCGATGCGACTTTGACTAACTATGTGGGCGACTGTCTGGTCTGCCCTAAACCCTGATCAATTTTCTTAACTCCAAGTCCTGCGAGTGTGTAAATCACAAAATCACTTGGACCGTTGCACCCTTCCACGATCAAAACCAAGTAGATCGACGCACCAAATCTGAAGCTAACCACTCATCACACATACTCGTATGGACAGCACCTCCTATCACATCCATAACAACAAGTGGTAGGAAGAATACAATCAGTACACTGGTACTTCATACCGACTCTTCCCTACGACCCGACCACCAACAGTCGCGTGCGGGTAATGGGTATTACTACGTCACTCGAGCTTACTTAGGCCCGAACCGACAATCTGTGGCTTACTTATCAGGTGTCTGATCACTATTTGACACTTCAATTACTGTCGATAACCTTGCACATTAAATGCAACACGTGTGCGGCTGGCCCCTAAATCTCCGTTCCCTATTCCTTTTCGAGCTAAACTGCTCCCATTGCGCTTGTCTCCCTACCGCTTCGAACGACGCTCATGGAATGATTTATGCGCTGGCAGAGTTGCCACACCCGATTCTTCAAGCCCGCATTGAAAATCTCGCCTTGTTCGGGGACGAAGCGTCCTCAAACGAAGCGCGCACTTCAGAGAACAACCCAACACCATCACCATACACAACCACAGCTACGAAATCTTTCAATACTTTCCGATTAGCGATCCCTCCCGGATTCACGGCTCAGTCATACGAAGCATATTTACGGGCGAAGGATGTCTGTTCGAAAAATTCATGTAAAACGGACACAATTAGGCATCAAAGTTTAGTTTCGTAGTATAATGGGTTTAATGAATTACCACTACGTTCAATGACAGCACCTGGAGTGCAGAACTATCCGCTTAGTCGGATAGTAACGAAATCAGATGTAGCATATTTAGAGAGCGTAACAAACGAGAGGGCAGCGATTTGGAGGAATAAATGGCGGAATTGGAATAGTAAAATTCACCAACAAATGCGTGTCCACCCATCCTCATGAAGTCGGATTGACTGACACTCCGGCGAGACACCGCGCGTGTGATACAGCGCTTTGGATGTGAAAAGCAACTACCCAAGGTCATCGTAGCCACGGGAGGACGTGTAGGTGGCGCGTGTACCGTAAGAGGTGGAGGCATGTAGCTTGGGCGTGCCATTTCTGAAAATAGACAGCTAGTGGACATGCGTCTGTGTTGCTCCATCGTAATTACTTCGGGCATGTGCGCAGAGTCACGTTACTGATTCCTGAGCGTCTGCTGTATATTACAGCTACTCCATAGACTGGCTATTCGGGTACGATGCGCTCACTGTGTCTGAAATCCGCAAAGTAGTTGTCCAGGAATAGCTTGAAATCTAACACCGATTTCGCCTCTACTATTTTCTCGGGCGAACTGCTCCAACATTTCACCACTCGCCTCTCGAAGTAAAGAAGGGGAGCTATCCGCTCTAGGTCCGGTACCACTAGCTTGCACCGGTGCCCCCGAGTGCTGCTTTACACACGCACGTGAAGCAGTGGCCTCAGTATGTGCAAATGACCCAGATGCAAAATCCGGTGTGTCATAGTGAGGTCCACTCGAAACCGTTGATACTACAGGATGTACAGCTCGAATCGTCCGCATCAGTCTTCGTACGACATACCCCGTAAATTGAGGATGGGTCTGGTAGCTACATGCTAAACCCGTTCTATTCCGAGTTACGTAATTAACCGACTCTAAATTGGCCAAAAATGTGCTGTGCGGTTCGGTACAGCAACGATTGTCTGCTGCTAACGAGCCATTGAATGATGAAAAATAAATAACAAGTGCTAAATGCTTGCATTCAAATGCGTATGTATATAGTCATAGATTTTCATTATAATGTTCTTCCAATGTTAAATTTACTTTATTTATAACATCATTTTGGCTCTTATCTTTTCAGTAATGCGTTTCCTTTATTTTAACTTTATTTATTTCATCACTGCCTTCATTCCTGCTATATATCCATCATTGAAAGTTCAGCTGATTCTGAGAACGCTTACTTCAAAACGTTTCCCGCCAATCCGTTAGTTACTGGTAACCGTTCTAGTCTTTGCACTTCGCCACGAGTGATCGAACTCCGTACTCTATAGTTAGGTTTATGATGAGAGAGAGGAGACGAGAAGCAATCTCTTCAGACGAAGTACCGAAGCTTTGATTAATCACACAAAACATGTGATGTACGTTTCCGTATAGCTTGTTCGTGTCGCGTTTTGAAATTAACAACAATCCTAGATGCGTGACAATCTTATCCCTCTTCGCCTTTCGAGACGAGCAAGCCAAGAAAGTCTCCCTTGTCTGTTCCCGGTTCGACTGGTGGGTTACAGTGTGTGGCGTCTACCATGTAATCCGGAGATCACTGGTTCAAATCCGCTTAGGTGCTGCTGGGCGACCTCGCAGTATTCCTAGCTCGCGCGCCACCAGTGTTGGTCGCTTGGCAGCGATGCGTCGGTACGGCGTATTGCTGATGCCGTACTGTTGTCTTTGTTATTTGTTTTGGAACTAGTATATTCTCAACTAAGTGAGGCACGGCCCAGCTAAGCTGGTCCGATCATAGGTGCAAAAGAAATGCAGAATGGTTTTACAAAATTGCTGTACAAAAACACTTGTGGTTCCAATTCCATTGATTTTTGCGCCATTCATTTCGTTTCAAAATTCGTCGGAATCCACAACAATTGCAAAACCTTCAGATACGTTTAGGCGGATGGTTTGGAAGAGAAAACAGAATAACAAAGCTTTAGAAGGCGAATGACAATATATACATGGAAAATGTAAGTTAAGTATTTATAACATTGGTATATAACAATAATTTATAACTAGTGAAAGTGTGTGAATAGCCAAGATAACACGACAGACGGTAAAACTGAGAACTTCCTCCATAATTAAACTAATCAATTAGAACTAACGACAAGAGGTAAGCGGTGGTAACATAGGGCAAGTGAAATTACGTAAATAAATTTGGTAGGTTAGTTGCGATCATCAACAATTCATCTTTTCAGTGGGTTCATGTCTTGCAAGCACTCATGTCTTTCACCTAGATGTGTAATAGAGAGGAATCACCGTATGATGGCTAGGGAATAGGCTTGCTTATCCAACTCACCAATATGCGTCTGTTTTTCAAATGCCATCAGTGGGTCTTCAAACTAAGTAAGAGCACAGTGAGAAGCTGTTTAGATGAAGAAAAAATCAAAGATAAATCCCATCTATCCAACTCATACGTCACCAACGTGCCATCGATCTGAGAAACACGAAGAATATAACAGTATAGACTAAGTGAAAATCAAAGATAGATCTCATTTATCTGACCTATTGATGTACCAATATTTTCATAGGCCATCAATTTCAGTAATTTCGAACAAAGTAGGAGGAAGGAATGAGAGACAGAGATGTTATCTTGCAAAACATACTCATAAGGGAACACTCACGCCGTGCCGACCAGCCATTCTGTCCGTCTTTATCAGTACTTCTGTGTTGCGAATTCCGCAAGTATTATCAGGCCGTTCCCGTACACCCATTCGTGTGTGTAACTAACGCGAAACAGTTCTTTAACTTTATTAATAGTTAAGTATTCTTTTAGTTGCATTTTAAATGTTCGAAGCGGAAATGTACTTCTAATGGCCTGAGGTAATCTATTCCATTGCGTGGGATATTTACGTGTAAAGGTATTGTACTGTAGAGGTGCACGGCAACGAGGTAACTTGATAACATACTATTTGTTTCTTAGGTATTACGGTGCAGATTCTTGGAATACCGGCCGATAGTAACTAGTGTATGTCATTCGGTAGACAGTTTTGAATAATAGACGCAAATTCAGCCTTAATCTTCGAAGCCATAGCGGTTTGATTTTTACCAACTGGTACCTATCTTTATGATTGAGCTTAGAGGTGTAGCCCACTATTCTTTTCTTAATAAACTTCTGTGTAGCTTCGACTGCACTCGTGTCTCATCTTTTATCGCTTCTAAAAGTGTTGGCATAATGTTCTAATAATAGTCTGGCGTGCACTTTGAATGACAGGAGCTTAACATCACTTGTTATGAGCAAGCGGCCTATCACTCCGGCGAATACTTCGGCGGTAGTGTTCCAGGACATGGTGCATTTTAGTCTGGCAAGCGTTCTACATATAAAAGCCACATATGCCCGTTAAATAACACTGAGACGTGGCGGATGTGACTCGCCACTGAACAAAGTCACTGCCTCTTGCTTCACTCCAGTGGAACATTGTATTCCAGCTGCCAGCTGCTGTTACTCTGAAGAAGATTGGGTCCGCGTTTGGTATCTTACCAAGCGAATGGCATATAAACCGATGAATCGGTCACCGGCTCGCAATGGGTGCCATTCCCTGAATTCGCCTCGCTGACTTGCGGGTAGGCTATTGAACCAAAGACTCGGGATCGTGTCCCCTAAGTCAACACCCTCAATGTCCGGACGCTTATGCAGATTTGGCAACAGTCCGGCCTTGCAGGTACTCTGTGTTCCCTCGCCATTGATATATGCTACCTTTTCGAAACGCGATTGCAAGACTCAAGTACTCTGCTCAAGTTGCATTCTCCGACCAACCAGGAAGCCACATACCAGTT